AAATGGTCTCTATAAAACGATAATCAGGATCGCAAAAAAAGTCAACTGATTTGAAACACTTGCCGGACGTCTCTCTCTCTTCTGAAATCCGCCTCGGTGATCATGGGCTGGTTCGGAATCTATTTCTTTCAAAAGTGTTGCGCCAGGTTTACATTGTCGGCGTTTCTCTTTAAACCTAGTCGTTTTTTTTTATGGACGACGACAGTTGAATGAATCTAAGGTTAAGTGATGTCGCACCTTCGGATCGATTAGTAACGTGTGAATACATACACTATGGCTATACGTTTCACTGCAACTGCCCACAACACAACATCTAAAAACTCTCTCTCTCTCAAGAAAAATGAAATAGACAAAAAAAAAAGAAAAAACGCCGACCGAAAAATGTATATCGTTTAAAAGTATACTGAACGACCAGTGTTATTACGGCTCGGGGGTATGACTTCCTCTCACATTTTGTCATTTGGTGGCGCACTTTCGACGAGAGTCGGAAATCCGGAAACAGTCGACCGTTTCACGATAGGTGGGCGTGGCTACAACACGAGAAATATCCCAAATTTACTTGGATACGAATAATCATTTTCAGCAAAAAAATCAATAACTACCCTTTTCAGTGGGGCACAGATCTAAAATGGGAAACGTGAGGGTGGGCATTGCACAGGCACTTTAATTCACAATTCTGATTAAGTATTTCAATGCAAAATGTTATAGTTTTGGTATATTTGACAACTGAATTTTGGATTTCTGCGAATATTAAAATGGATTTTGTTTATATTTGAGCTCACACTGTTTTATATGACTTTGCTGTTACATATCATGAACATAACACCTTGATTATATGTGTAACATTTTATGCTTTTTAAGGACTATAGTACACGTATCATGGATTTGTCTGAGCTTGCCTTTAATTCCCAGTTAATTTGTGAAACAAAATAAACATATAACTCACTTAAAAGAGGTGATGACAACCAGAGGCAAAATAATTCTGAGGCTACTGGTGGCAGACATAAATTGGCTTGCATTAAATCACATAAATCCTGAGCAGTAGCTCGTTTCCCACATTCCACACTGAATTCATGTCCAGAACCATCTCGTAAAAAGACACATACATCCAAACCTGGTAGAAATTAAAAATAACAGAAAATTATTTAAACGCATATTTTATAAAATATATAATAATTATTATTTCTGCCGATGAGCAAATTATACTTATGGTTTTTATATTTTCATATGATAATATAACAATATACATCTTCTTACATTTTACAGTTGATGACGAAGCAGAACTTGACATTTGTTGACTCATGTGCAATGTTTGTGTTATTGGTGTCATCATTGCTGTACCAGGACCAACCTCATCAACCACGCGAGCTGGCATTTGCATTTTTAATTTGGGTTTTTGTGGTTTCAAATCATATGAATGAACCCCAGCCTCCACGGTTGAGTGTGCCATACTTATACAGCCTGAAAAGTAAACAAGTTATTGACATTTGAGTTGTCTATTTTGGTGGTACGTGTGCTGACAAATATGAGAGGTGTTTACATGGTTAAAATAAGTTGCATTCATACAATCAATATAATTTGGAGTATATATGCTTTTAACAACCCAAATACTTTAGAATAATAGATGTTGACTAATTAAATCAAGGATGATTTTATTACCCATGCACATAAAATCACTTCCAAACCAAAGTGCCTGTGAAAGGCCCACTAACATGATTTTGTTAGAATTAATTTTATACAATAAATCATATTAGAGTAGAATTGAAAATGATTCTATGTTACAGCCATGCCTGTTTCTACCACGGTCCACTATTTTCGTTTTTTCAATCTATTTCAAAATACAAAATGATTGCCAGTCGGCCATCTTTGATCTCAAAACAAATCATCATGGACATGTACATGTGAATAATTTATGTACCGAAACTGACAAAAACATGTCCAAAAAACAACATTTAAAAAAAAAATGACTGCCAGTTGGCCATCTTGGATTGAATCACTGAACTACTGAATGTTTATATATAGATATATAAAAAGAATGAACAGATTAGATCCAGAGGGTAGTGAAATACAACTCTGGATGGACAGACACTCACAGAGCCCAAACTATAAGTTCGGTTTCAAATTTCGTTCGAACAGGAATTAATTAATTCAGACTGCTATTTTGGGATTTACAATCCACAGTATTGAAGTTTATAATATGAACAGAAAATTTTTATTAAAACAAAAAGAATATATTTTGTTTGCAGTCTGATTTATTCCAGATATATAAATATTCACCAAAATTTGGTCCAAGGTGATGACATCTGGGAACATGAAAGTTTGGGCAAATATTCTTTAGATATCATTAAAATAAGATTGAATGATCAAATATTACACATAAATATACGAATAAATAGCAATAGTATAAAAACAGTATAATCACAATTAACACAAATTAATCAAAATGAAATTATTAACACCAATAAAAAGTATTCTTAAAATAAGAATAAAAATATTGAATAAGAAGATGTATATAAAGTAGACAAATAAATGCCCAAATGAACTAAGAATTTAAAGAAAATTTAAGAAAGTAATTAAAGCGGGAGGGTCGTCACCTGTGCACACGCAGGAATTGAGTCTCAAGCGACTATAACAACACACGCTAAAAATGCAAAGGCTCATGGGTAGATGCTTATTTGTAAACAATGACAAGCTATGGCCATCTGACGTATGCGCAGGTGACAACTCCCCCGCTTTAAATTGAAAGATTATTTAATCAACACTAAAAATAGAAAATTGCATGAACAACTATGTAAATTTTGGATAAGTAGCCACTGTCTAAAAATAGAGACGAGATTTCCAAGAACTTCAGTTAAGTTCAGAATCTATGAGTAATGTAATTTAAATGAAATTGAAGACAAACTACATTTTATGATACCATGCTGCAGCTCATTTAAAAATCAACAAAAGTGTGTTCTGTTCTAAGAAACAACCAAACATATTATGGTATCAATTGCATGCACCAGATAGCAACCTCACTAATACACAAATGATAATTTGTCTTCTAATTTAGTTACGATTATTTCCTTTTACTTTGCGATTTATGTAATTTTCAATTCTTTTCTCTCTATCTTTTTCTACTGTACTTTCCCAAGTCAGTGTTATGTCAATAACAATTATATTAATACAGTAAATACAGTCCATAAAATAAAATAATATGGAACAAAATGGCGCAAACGCAACTCATATCGTTTATAGCAATTGTACAACATGAGGTAACTTAACACGCATTTATGTTCAAAAATCGAATGAAATGTAGTTGTCTGGAACTCTCTCCTCCCAGCATTATTGCAAATTCACTGTGTTACTTTGTATTGTTTCGAGATAAATCTCAACCACCACTCATGTACATGTTGGTTGTACTATTCTGACAACTAGTTCAAACAGTTAGCAATATAAATTCAGACAAAAAAGGGGTAAAAGGCAGAAGATTTACAGCCAATTTGTCCACAAGTAAACTCGTCCGTCCCAATATACATTTGCCGCGTTCCTTTTAGTCAGCCTTACGATCTTGTGCAGCATGGTGTCGATTTCTCGGTTGGTATGCAAAGAGTTGCCAATTTCGAGTACGACTGTGTGCTAGGTCTTGTCGATTTCTAGCGTGGGTTTGGCCAACCGTAATTACCACAAAGTATGACTAATGTACTATAATCTTGAAATATGAATAACTTGATTTGATGACTGAATGACGCATTAACTTACTGCAAAGCGTGATACACGTCTTCGAGGTGCTGTCACATGCACGACAAGTGCGTGACAATAAGATGCAGTTTGTTATTCGGAAATTGTTGGGTGTATTGGACGACTTACCGGTAGTGTTAGGCTAACCAAATAAATCGGACGATTCAACTTAGGATGAATAAACTTATGGGACTAATCAACTTCAGACGCATAATCCTGTGGGACGAAGTTGATTTTAAACGAATCGGCCGAGCACCAAGCAGAACCCCCCTTTTCCGTTACACCCAGAGTTCAGAAAAATCGTTATTCTGCAAAAAATAATACTTCACAACAAAGTCGTACTTAAAATACAATTGATTATTATTTTCTATGACAACGACCGCGATTTCTAGACGATCCGGCCCTGGTTTGGACGTTCCGGTCCCAAAACAGTTTGGTCGATCCGGCCCTGGTATAAATTATGGTAACAAGAGAAGTCGGCCAGCAGGAGAAGTCGGCCAGCAAAACAACGGAGAAGTCGGCCAGTGCGAGAAGTCGGCCAGTGAATATCGGAGAAGTCGGCCAGTGGGGAAGTCGGCCGGTGAAACATCGGAGAAGTCGGTCATTACGTACATACTACGTTCAAACATATTTACATTTTTTTTCTCGAAAAGTCGATCATTACTGAACATGGCACTTACTACTAAGTACGAAAGTGAGAAGTTGGCCAGTACAGTATAGACGTAAGTCAGAAGTCGGTTTTTACAGTACAGATTGCGTTCGTAC